AAAAAAAAAAAAAATCAAGATCTTTCTTCTGTGCAGTACACAGTAAGGAGCATATAGTTAACAGAATTATACACTTGAAATTTGTTAAGAGGTTAGATTTTTATACTATACATTTTTACCATAATTTAAGGAAAAACTCACATTAACTATTAGAGAATGCTCTCTCTGTAAAATATATTTCAATAATCTGTGCTCAATGAATGTATTTAGTATTAATGATTTTTTTAAAAATCAACAAGAAGCCACGCAGGGAGCCAGGAGAGGGTACAGTTATATTACAGTCTTGGCACACATGCAGATATCAGTATGCAAATACCATCAACAGGACATGCATTTCATTCATTCATTCATTCAATCATTCATTCAAGAAATATTCATTAAGGATTTATAATACTATGAACCAGGCACTCACTATAAGGAGTGTTTATGCATGTTTTATCTCACTAACCTCATGTAAATTCTACAAGATAGGTATTATTAACTTCTTCACAGACAGGGAAAACTGGCTCAGAGAGATGAAAGGAAGTCCTAGGGTTCTGAGTCTGTAGTGACAGAGTTGGTGGAGTCAGAAGACATGGGTGGACACTTGCCACTTGCCCCTCCTCCCAGCTACCCCGTTAGCTTCTCGGTGGCTGCGGTAACATGAAGGAATTGGACTTCATGAACGGCAGCGTTGTGATGCTCTCCTGAGCGGCCAGGGTTTGGCTTTCCAGTATTAGAAATGCAAATCTTGGCTAGTCCACTTACCCACCCTGGGATTCAGTAAGTATTATAGCTGTTATTTTTCCTCACCCACCAGGGCACACAGGCTGTCAGGGACGAGGCACTGGAGAAGTTACGTTACTTGCCAAAGTGTCAACTGCAGGGCACAAAATCTAAAAAAAAGAGCTTGGTTAGTTTTGAGGAACTTGGAATCTGGACTCTTTTGAAGCCTGTTAATTGATCTTCACTACCCAGGAAATGTCTTGTTTTTTAGTAACTGGATAATCAGAAAGGCCAGTTTTCAACTCTGTCTGCTGTAAACAGTTCTGCAGACACACCACACCCAATTCTTTTCTCTCCCTTTTCTCTCCCTCCTTCTCCTCCTGTTTAGACTCCATGAGGACAGGCCACATATGTCTGGATTTTTCATTTCAGAGTTTTTAAAAAAATAACCAGTTTTCATAACCATATTGAACCCTGGAGACTCTTTAATCAACACTGATCTGTCACACTAGGTGAGGAGGATAATTTCTGAACAAGAAAGTGGTGTGTCCTCACCTCTTCCTAATCCTTATTTCTTAACTCTTGATTCCATCTCACTTTTGTGTCTATACCTCTTCCTTTCCACACGGTGATCCGTCTCACCACGCTGCCCACATTCACCCCAGTGGGTTACGCTCATGATCAGAGGCACTCTTTGGCAACATGGTGGTCAGATTTTCATTTAACAAACACAATACCTGTTTTTGGCTACTATGTAGAAAAGACAGTCTCTTTTATTTCTTACTAAACAAAGCGGTAAGTTGAGATTTGCCAAATATTAATAGATTCTGGGAGCAAACAAATATAATTTTAGCTACTGGAATCTAGTAAGGAATATATCCTATAATCCATTAAGGGATGAAATCCTATAACCCATTAGGGTTAAGGGTTAAGTGGTTAAATTTGTCCTTTTAGTGAAATTAACATATTTAGCCCACTTGTTCAGAATATTTTAGCTAATGTATTATGATATAGTGCTGTAAGGAGTTAAATTGCTGGGGCAATTTAATAACTGGGTGTCTTTTCTTCTCATTTTATACGTATATGTCTATTTAGTTATGTATTTCTTTCTCTTTTCTTTTTTTTTTTTTTACCAGAGTGATGTTAGAACTCCAAAAAGCACTAAACACATCCATTCGATTCAGTGGAGTAGAACAAAACCTCAGGATGAGGTGAAGGCCGTCCAACTTGCCATTCAGACAGTATTCCCCAACTCGGAAGGCAACCCTGGAAGCAGGTCTGACTCAAGTAAGTTAGTGCTCCATAGTAATTAGATGTGTGCTGGATTCCAGAAACTTAATTATGAAATTCTTACCAGAGGTAAGTACCCTTCCGTGGACAGATGTAGATTCCTAATATAATACTTCCTTCTGATACTTTTATAGCATTGGTTTATAAACAGATTATATGGAGAATAGTATTTATGGACTTACAAATATGAACATAGTATACTAAATTTCAATATTTAGATAAAACTATAGTAAAAGAGGAAAATTATGGTGTTGCATTGGTAAATACAAATACATACATGTATGTGTGTTTATATATGTATATATTTAGTTTCTAAAAGTGTGCCTGTGGATACAGATATGAATCTTCTATGTCTACCAAATGCCAGACATGGCATTTCTATGTCTACAAAGCCATTGTTGGGACAACTTCTTGAATCCTGACACCACTGATACATCAAAGCATGGGAAGGAGAGGAAAAGAAAGAAGGGAGAAGGAAATAAGGATAAGGGAAGAGAAAAGGGAGGGTAGAGAAAGAGAAAACATGGAATGCATACGATAGATAATAGTGATAGTAACTACAGATGATATAAAGAAAGAATTTAGAGTACCATGGAAGGAGGTCAGATGACTTGCTATAAAATGGGTTATTATTTGGTGGATTCAGGGAAGAAGTTCTGACCCTCAGCTCTGTAGGCCCAGAAACTCTTAACATTAGGTGACCAGATTTAACATTGGTAAAGCGGGACACCATTGACCAGGGGTGGGGGTGGGTAGGTGTTTCTTAATTTAAAATTTGGTCTATATGGAGCAATAAAAATTTTCATAGAACACCAAAATAGTATTGTAATATATATTTTTTATTTTCAACATAAGTATAATTTACAAATATAATACATTTTTTAAAATTATGTATAGTATTTTATTCTTTGGCATATTTCTCATTTGAGTGAATTTTTTTTAGTAGGTTGCTGTCGTTGTTTAAAAGGTCATGAAATTTTTCACAAGAATTTGTTAAATTATATTTCACATGTAAAATGGCTTTCAAAGTCTCAACACTTAATTGTGATTTTTCTGATGTCCACACTTTATTTACCGTAGAAAAAA